CCTGACGAACACCACTTGAGGTAATCAATTCTGATGACAGTTCGCCATAAGCTCTCACTCTACCAGTTGTGTTCGAGTAGAGAGCCTTTATAAGGTTAATGTACTTCTTTGGTACTCCTTTCAGTGACAAACACTGCCATAGAACCTCACGATCAACAGAGTCGAATGCCGCCTTAAGGTCGAGAAATACTACCATTGTGGGGCGTCTGAATGTGTGTCTGTGTTCTAGAACCTGACGTAGTGTGAATATCTGATCTATACAACCACGTCCAGGTCGAAAACCGGCCTGGTTTTCTCTAGTCTGCTCTTCACGAGCTTTGTTAGGCGTCGAAGTATTATTGAAGCTAATATTTTAGACACTATATTAGTCAAACTGATTCCTCTGTGATTGTCACAAGAGGACTTTTGTCCTTTCTTATAAACTGGCACAATCAGTGATTGAGACCAGTCAGATGGGATTACGTCCAGTTCCCAAATTCTACCTAAGACCTCAGTTAATCTCATTGCTAATACTGGACCACCATCCTTAAAAATCTCAGGAGTAAACCTGTCAGGGCCTGCTGCTCTCCCTCGTTTCAGATTTCCTATGGCTTTTTCAACTTCGTAAAGAGACGGAGGACCTACATTAACTTGCCATTCAGGTTGACTGGAGATCGTGGGAAACCGAAGTGTGGCTGAAGGCCAGTTGAACTGATCCCTAAAGTGTTCTGCCCATCGATCCAATCTCCTGGATTGAGAATGAATAATATGTCCATCTTTCTCTGAGATTGTTTCGCTAACGGTCGGGTTCCTAATTCCGGTTTCCTTAACGAGTCTGAACAATTGTCTGCTATTACCTATTGCCGCTGCCTTTTCCATCTCTCTTGCTTTCGCTACCCACCACTGTTCGCGATCATTGCGTAGACTTCTTGTCAGCTTGCGCTTAAGCTGACTCCGCTCTTCATTATGTTCAGAGCCAGGTGGAATGAGTTTCCGAGCATCTATCAGTGCGATAGATGCTGCTGAGATCCAGTGTTGCTCCCTAACCTTCCGGTTTACCTTACTAGCAGATATCACTGCTGTTTCCACAGCTTTTCGGATATCATTCCATGCTGCATCGGGGTGGGCATCACATACATGGCTGCCTAACTGTTTTCCTAGTTGTTCCTGAAATATACTCTTAGCTTGACTATCATTAAGTAGGCCCTAAGAGGTTTCCTTGCAGCGTCTTTCCTACGTCCAGTAAGACGCAAGCAAATACGCGCTCGCACTAGAGCATGATCTGAATCTAGGCATGTGCTCCAGAATGAGCGACAGTCTTCTATCGAGCCCCTCCATCGGTGGCTGATAGCGATGTGATCTATTTGGGTCCAACGTTGGGACGAATTAGGGGGTCGCCATGTTAAAAGATGTTTTTCCTTATGCTTAAAGTTAGTATTTGCAAGGAACAGGCGGTTATCTGAGCATAGCTGCAACAGACGGTCGCCATTATCTGTTCTTTGAGCCACGACACCATAAGATCCACCTAGGTGTCTTTCCCTATCGCTTAGTTTACCTACTTGAGCATTAAAGTCACCGGCCACTATTACTACATCCGAGCGCTTAGCTTTTCGGAGAAGGTCCGAAAGCTTTCTGTAAAACTCATCTTTTACATCATCTGAGCTGCAGTCAGTGGGAGAATAGGCAGAGACGACGAAGAGGCAACGACGAGTGTCCCTATCTTTCCGGATTCTTACTGTTCCGTTCAGTCGGACAGCGCACAAACGACTGTCTACTGGGATCCACTCTAAGAGAGCTAGTTCTGCCCTAGGACTCAATGCTATACCTACGCCGGCGAGGCCACGGGAAGCAGAATCAGGGCTTCCAGATACACGAAGCGTAAATCGAGTCGGTTCTTTATTTTGGCATGGTGAGGTCAAATGAATGACGCTACTCGGATCCTGTATGCGCGTTTCGGAGACGCAGCACACATCGATGGCGCGAGATTCTAAAGTTAGCTAAGGAAGCCTGCTGTCCTATTTGGCAAAGTGTTCGTACGTTAAAAGCTCCTACGTGTAGTTTAGAGCGTGGTTTCAGGAGACCAGGAATGGCGTTCCACGTACTCGAATCGTTTGCCCTAGCGGTGCGAGGTGATAAAGAGACGTGAGGAGGGTTAGTCATGGAGATAAGAGAGGTATTAGGAGGTGTAGGAAGGATTTGAATGTGACCACCTTGGTCTCGTGTGCTGTTACGGGTATGAGGGCTGATGTCACTTCCCGGCTGCCCACACCGTGGAAGGGTATTTCTTGAGGAACCTGAAAAGGAAATTGGATTAGTGTTGGTCTTGACGACCTGGGAGCGTGACCGCAGAGCCCAAGGGACAACTGCTTGAGGCCGGTCGCGCACGGCCTTTTTGTGGAAGGTTTTTGACGTGTTAGCTCCGTTCTTCAAAGGGCCTTACCGCCGGAGACGGAAATCCGTGAGGTAAGGTGAGGTGTGACATTTTTAGGGTCGACCTTTTCTAACCCCACCCCTCCTTGTGGGAAGGCAGCATCGCTGTCATGCTGGTTGTCCGAGGGAAACACCTTACTGCTGTCACACCCCTCTACAGTCAGCAGTACGACTTCGCCCTCAGACCTTGAGTTGCTGCTTTTAGTCTTACCGTTCTCCAATCGACCTGCCTGGCATGGTAGAACCTACAGGAACATATGTTCCAGCCAATATAGCTCGGTTGGGTCATCACGATAGGCAAGCCCGACCACCGCGTGAAGGTAGCACCTTCGGTCGGGAACGTCAGTCAGTTGGTGGCGGTCACTTCGTTGTCCACTGAAAAGTAAGGTAAGATTGGCGCAGACCAAGGTATGGTCAGAGTCCAGATGGGTACTCCGAAAGGAGCGGCAATCTTGTACACAACCACGCCAACGGTAGCTGATTGCGATGTGATCAATCTGAGTCCAGGATTGAGATGCAGAGGGAGGACGCCAGGTGGCACATCGGCGATGACTGTGCCGAAAGTTAGTGCTAGCCAGAAACAGGTTGTGGTCTGCGCACAGTTGCAGTAGACGGTCCCCGTTATCTGTCCTGTGACCAACAAGTCCCTATCGGTCACCTAAACGACTCTCTTCTATGCCTAGACACCCGACCTGAACATTCAAGTCTCCGGCTAGTACTACAATATCTGTCGAACGCACTTTCTGGAGAAGAACTGTTAACTGGTGATAGAATTCATCCTTGATTGCATCCAGGCTGCAATCTGTCGGGGCATAGGCGGAGATGACGAAGAAACATCGTTTCTCACACCGATTTCTTCTCACTCTGATGGAACTTTCTAATCTAACAGCACATAACCGACTGTTAATGGGGATCCAGTCGATTAGTGCTGTCTCAGCTCGAGCGCTTAGTGCGACACCAAGGCGAGCAAGACCAGACGAAGATGCCACAGTGTCCACGGAAAAACACACGTAAAACAAGCTTTTTGAAGCGACAGATGGAGATCGAATTTGTAGTACTTCACCAGAGTCTTGAATACGGGTCTCGGATAGACAACAAACATCGATATTAAGACTTTCCAAAGACATAGCCAGCCCTATCTGTTGTCTAACCTGCATAAGTGTGCGAACGTTGAAGGCAGCCAGTTTGAATGGTGCACGTGGTTTCAGAAAAACTGCTTCAGTACTCATATTCGGTGGTAACATACAATTTTCAACCGGACAGTGACTCGAGAACGTTTAGATAGAGTCGAATTTCCACCATAGGTGAGCTTCTGTATAAGTCGAAAAATAAGGATACACAGAGTGAAAATAAAAGAAAATAAACGACGTAGTAAGTAATAATAATAATAATAACGGTAATAATAATAATACGAGACAATTGATTGTTGTTTGCAGGAAGAGGAATATTTTTCACACCTAGACAGTTTATCATGTTTTTGTGTGCGGGCTGTGATACTGCCCGGGTGCCCAAACCGAAGCAGGTGGTTTTCTTAGGGTGCCACACCCCGAGCCATTGACCTAAAGGTCTAACCCATAAGGCAGTGGAGCATCGTGAGGAGATGCAGTTCCATGGTAGCCGGTGACCAAAAATTGGTTCACACACCATTTGTTTCCGCAGGATACTGGAGCCCATGTGCACCATTAGTTTGGGATCCGGTTAAAGCGCCGGACATTCGCTTTTCGTCCTCTCATTTTCGTAGACAACAGTAATGCCACGAGAAGGCAATGAGTAGGACTTCCCTTGCAGAGGCTGTATACGCGTGGCCGTGTGAGAGTATTTCGAGAGGGAGAGCGAACTCTCCCCACTCTCGGCCATACCAGGGCATTTGGGGGCTAAACACGTCATTCATTCAAAATACATCTACATTCGGGTATCTTTCTGATCAATACCTAATCGACTACAAGAAAATAAATTCAGTATGTTGTTTTACTTTTTATATATTTTCACATTCTTGCAGATGTCAATGATGTCCAAATTATAAAATATACAAATATTGTCCTAAATTTCGTTTTAAACTTCCTATCTACTTGTCTGAAGTTCCTAGTGAGCGGGACTAATACCTGAAAGGGTAAATGAAGCCACGTTATCCTGTTAGCTTTTTGCATCATCTACAGGTTCGTTATCTAGTGCCACTATGTTCCACTCAAAAGGTGTTGTGGTTAACTTCGATGCTACTCAGAAACCAGTTAGTGATGAGCATTTATAGTTATGATATGTAAGATTCTCCGTCGAAATTCAAATTAATTCCACGTAATTTTTAGCACTATGTGAGTGTACCCAATCTCAATTGTGAGTTTTTGTATATGATTGAGTAGATTAACATTTAGCTTTGACTGCTATTGTTTGCCTTACTACCGCTTAAATAATCGTCAGGAAATATTTGTATTTTCGAAGACAAACTTCCTGAATACTTTCGTCTTACTAATCTTGAATTTTATTTCATGCATTAAAGAGATTTATTGATTTCTCAGTGTCCGATTTTGCATTTTGTAACATGTCATCAATATCAATAATTCTACGAATTCATTTTCCTCTGTTGTTTTTTCCAGATATGTCAATTTCAATTTAGAAGTGGAAGAGTTTGGAGCTACTGAAAACAATGTTAGTAAGAATCATCTTAATTTCGCAACATTAAATTTCTTAAACTTTGTTGGGGATTCGGATTTGTCTAATGTCGCTACTGAGCAGCTGAAAAAATATGGTGTTGGATCATGTGGACCAAGAGGATTCTATGGTACTTTTGATGTTCATCTTGAATTGGAAAATAAGTTGGCTGAATTCCTCGGTGTTGAAAAAGCAGTAATTTATTCTTATGGAGCAGCCACATTTTCTAGTGCTATCCCATCCTATTCCAAACGAACTGATGTAATATTTGCGGATGAAGGTATCAACCATGCTACGTATCTAGGCTTAGTGGCATCTAGAAGTCATGTTCGATTTTTCCATCATAATGATATGGAACATTTGGAACAATTACTGATAGCACAGGCAAAAAGAGATAAAGAAGATCCTAAGCGTGCATTACTAACTCGCCGATTTTTTGTTGTTGAAGGTATTTATTTCAATTCTGGAGAAATTTGTCCCTTATCTGAGCTTATTGCTTTAAAATATAAATACAAAGTTCGCATTTTGTTAGATGAGACCATTTCTTTTGGAGTATTAGGTAAGACTGGTAGAGGTGTAACGGAATATTTTGGTGTTAATATAGAAGACATTGACTTAATCTCAGGTAAGCTTGTGTTTTTAATTCTCATTTCTTCGGTTGTACAGCTTTTTTCATTGATTGTTTTATCTGCGATTAGATACCTATTTAGTTAATGCACAATAATAATGTTCTGATTGGCTGGAGATTGTTAATTTAGTAAAGCAAAGGTCAAGGTTTTTACCTCCTACACTAAATTACTTAACTACTCAATTATATTGCATGCATTGATTGATCAACATCAGCCGTGAATCATGACTGTTGTGGCGTGATTACCTAACAGTTTATCATGGTGATTTAGCAACCGTAAAATAGTTTGATCCAGATAATTTTTACTACTAGATTTTTGAAGTGTATGAGAATGGTGATTACAGGTGGATGGAAAGTCTAATCATGATTCAGTTTGATATGTGTTATGAATAATTGAGTTAGAACTCTACCACTTCAACAAAATTCATTCTCGTAACTCTACTAAATGCTGTGCCAAATTTATTTCAGATAGTCTTTATGTATTAGGTTTTCTTAAAAATTTGATTTTCATTCATGCGAATTTGTCATATTTGGATTAATCTAAATATATTGTTTCGATATTTTATTATTATCATCACTGAAGTAGTGACTTGGTTTTCAACCAGTTATTTGCATGTTCTAACGCGCTTCTGTTCGTTTCTCGAAACCGTTCGAAATTTAACATTTTAAACTAAATAAATAAACTACTTAAAGATTAACCAACTTATCCGTGTGTATAATGGGGATTAGTAAATAGAAGTATCAGCTTACAAGATTAAAAGTTGTTAGAACTAATTAATCAAGTTGTATTAGTCAACTGGACAAGTGAACTTGAAACTGATACTATGAAGCAGGCGAACCAATTTATAACGATTCATTAAGTGTATTATTACAAATATTTGATGACTAGTATAGGATTTACGAAGGTTGGATTTTTCAAGGACTTGGATTATATTAGTAATAACCAACGAGACTTCTGTGTTATTATTGTTAACCGTTAATATTATGACCGTCAGCTTAGAGTTGAGGATGTAAGTTATCTTGCTACAATTATGCGACTTCTCGCTCCATAGTTTCCACACTACACCTAAGGAGTTGTTTTGTTTACCTAATAGGTTCGTTGGAAACTGCTTTAGGGGTATGTGGAGGATTTTGCGCTGGATCGCAGTATGTTGTTGGTCATCAAGAACTCTCTGGACAAGCATATTGTTTTTCAGCTTCTCTACCACCAATGTTAGCTAAAGCTGCATGTACAGCAATTTCTAAACTGCAATCGCCTAAGGAAAATGGTAAACGTAATCAACGGTTATTGGAATTAGCCAGATTAACTGACAATTTGTTTCATTCGAACAACAAGTTAACCAGTATTTGGAAACTATATGGTCATCCGGATAGTCCGTTAAAACACTTAAGATTCAGAGAAAATAATACTTTAGGTAAACTTGAGGCTGTTGTCCAAACTGCTTTTGATTGGACTGATGAACGAAATTTGAAAGCACCTCCTTTATTGTTGACAGTATCAAGGTTAGTAATGCTTAGTTGCACACTAATTCACATCATATTTATTCCTAATGTTATATCTAATATCCAAAGATTTTTTGTCCAAAGATATTGCGACAGTTTATAGTAAGAGAACAAGAATAGTACATAACATGATGTGCAGTCCAGTTGAAAATGCAACCAGAAGCCTCTCAGTCAAGAATGCTTCTCCAACTATTTTAGAGAATGATAATACTAAAGCAAAATCCCCACTGGTTGTTACTTTCGGCCTTCTCAAATAACGTTTCAAACCATTGAGTTGTATGGTGTTTAAGACTCAAACTAGGGAGTTGTGAGAAACAAACAGATGTCAGCACTAGGCAAATTCCATCCCGTAGCTTCATGCCACACACTGACTACCTTCTCTCTTTTCACCCCGTCCCAGGTTCGGCAAATAATGCACAGTATAGAATGGCGTTCGTACACATGCCTAAGCCACCGAAGCGAGTGTTTCAAAGTGGTGACACTAATTGTTGTCACCGAGGTTAAACACACTTCTCATATCTCAGCATTACTAACACGGTGTTGCCACTAGAAATCAGCAATCCTTAAGCGAGAGCAATGATCGGACATAGAGAGTTGCGAATATTCTCAGCTCAGAAATGCCAGGTTTCGCAAGTATAAAGCGAACTACTCCCACCCGACGTGGTATAGATCCGATCTTTTAATGCCAGACTAGTATCTTGAACGAGCCAAAGGTGTGTCAGATTGTCGTAAACCACTCTGGCTTTGACTAAACGCAGAGTGACCTCATCATTTACGTCACCATCAGCACTCACATAAATATCTAGATTCTCAACTCTTTCAACTGCCTCGTTTGTTGCTGTTTCCGAATATCGATGAAAAAGTCGAAGAGGACGAGTGAAATTGGGCAAAGTGCAACAACATCGGTGACCACTGCATTGAAAATTGGTACTGGGAAGAAACAGGTTGTGACCTCCACAAAGGTCAAAGAGACAGTCACCCCTATCTGACATGGAAACAACGAGTTCACCTGTGCTTCGAATCCCCGGTTAGTACTACAATTTCTGTCGAATGTGCTTCACTGACATCGTTTATTTGATGGTGGAACTCATCCTCGATCGCATCTGGGCTGCAATCTGTGGAGACGTAGTCGAGGATCACGAAACGACATCGTCCCACATGCAAATTTCTATCCACTTTGGTGGTGTTTTGTAATCAAACAGGACACAAGACTGACAATGGGGACCCGCTCGACTAGTATGACCTTTACCCTGCCGCCTGCTGCGACACCGAAATCAGATATTAGTCCCATAGGGTTAGAAGAGTCTTGTAAACGGGTCTTGGAAGTAAACTATGCATCAGAATTAAGACTTCCTGGAAACGAAATAAAACGTATGTGTTTTCTAATCTGCTTCCGTATGAGAACATTGAGGTATGCCAGATTAAGTCATACATTTTGCCTCACAGACGCTGATTCAAATATGATTGATATTATAATTGAGAAATACGTGCACTCATCAACCTGAAGTTGTTTAGATATGACGGAACTTATAACACAGACGAAGTGTTAAACAATCCGGAAAATAATAGCACACCCAAAGAATAGATGCAATGAAGTATAAAATTGAAAAAGTAAATGAAATTCTTGTGCAGTAGAGTCAATGTAGGTATTGTTTAACAAGGTAGCAAAGTGGAACGAATGGAGCGGTTTCCCCATGATTAGGCATCGACATATTTCTTTGTGGGTTGGAATAGTACTCGAACGTCCAAACCGAAACGTTCAAAAAAGTAAAATTACAACTACCTTCATTTGCATTATAGCAAACTATTATCTTCGACATCATGCCAGAATGTCAATTAACTTGTTTGAGTTTTAAATTGTTAAGATTCTAAATTAATTTCAAATCAATTACTCATAGTTTGGTCTAGCTTCATGTTACTGCATTACTGACAACCTTGTTAATCTTTTATTAAATCGTCTTTTTTCAGATATACGTATAATATAAACTTCCCTGCTCCACCTCCAAGTATTCGTATTGCATTGAATTGTGATTTAACTAATGAAGAATTGCGTCATCTATTCTATGTTCTTTCTTCAATAGTTCCTGCATGAATCGACCAGTAAATGATGAAATTTACATTCAATAATGTTGGCTGTGAAATATTTTAACAAAACATGATATTTGTCCCTGTAATCTCATGGACGTCACTAGCTTAATAATATTATATTTATAGTTTTTTGTAAATGTCTCTTTTTTAGTAATGAAAAGGTTAAATATAATTAGCGTTTTTGCGTAATCCCTTGTTTATTTTCCCCTTAGTACTTCGTTGAAGCTTTAAATGTAAAGTAACTGTCTAGTTTTGTCTACCTGATGTCTGGATACTCATCACATAAGCGTTGTATGATCCAAAATTTTTATCACACACTGTGAATGGACATGTATATAATAGGCATGTTTTCATATATGATATACGATAAACTTCCTTGATTGTTGAATTCGAAATAAATATCTACTGAATTTAGCCTGCTATAGAGAACAAATAATCAGTTGATAATTGGTCAGGATAAATAAAAGTGCGACTTTACAAACAGATCAGTGGAATAAATTCTGTAATTTACTGGACCACAAGATTTCCTCCATAACAGAAATTCGAACATCAGATTGACCGAATTTCAATGAAGTTTAGCTAGATCCAGTCCTTATTGCAATTAAGAACACTTAATTAATTCTTAAACTAGAATCCTTCTTGAAAACCGTTTATACAGTCAGAGAAATCAGCTCAAGAGGCAAACACAGGACATATGTATGGTAGAGGTTATAGCTACCCACCAATCCAAGCCTAACCCTTATGCATAAAAACAGTACGTCCAGTTATTACTGGACTATCTTAATTCTCCTATCTATCTTTCATAACCAACCACCCGCTGCCTAATCCTTTCCTACAACTGATTTGTCATCGTTACAACTTGATCATTCTGCCCTTAATATGTAAACGAACAAGTATTTTCACCTCAACACTTTTCATTAGCTGATAATTTCACAACTTGCTTCTAATATCTGATTTTTGTATTCAACTCAGGACACGATACCACTTCACTATCCTATGACTACTCAACACTATTCTATTTTACTACAGACTATTATTTTTAGTAAATACGATTGTACAGCTCAACTCAATGAAACCGTCAAAAATAACATCTTCAGTATAGGGTTCTGGAGATTGTTGAGTCTTGATTGAGATCATAAACCTGAAAGCACTGGACGGGTGTTTTGTCCTAATATGGGACTCAGCAGTGCGCATCCACGGACCCGCACGCAGGAACCGGGCCCAGGATCTTCCGTCTCACACCTAGCCGGTCTCCAACGGTGGTAATTTCCAACTTCAATTAACCCACGATATTGCGCGACTGTCTTCGATAAGTCCCAAACTAGGGCGAAATGGCCGTCCAGGTTTTCAATGTTGATGTAACATTGGGCGGTTCATGATCTTAATCACCGAATCGACTTTATTCTTCTTTGTACTATGTTCCAAGTTTTCATAACTGCAATGAATTCAGTGAACGGGAAACCACTGACAAAGACGTTTCGCGTAACCATTTGATAGGGAATCCAACTTGTATATTCTTATCGCATATACTTACATAGAACCTGATTTAGAAAAGGTGACGTGCAGAACAAATCAACCTGATATCTAGGATCGTTTCATTAGCTAGTAAACGGTCTACAGTCAGTAATTTACAACCATTTATATGCTGAACAACTTTTAATGATGTTTACTTTTGTGCTACATAGCAGGTAAATATGAGCGTCATATTTTGCTGGATAGACTTACTAACCAGCTATTGTGTCTTCTATTTATTTATTTGGAATACTGGTTCAATATTTTTGTGAGTAACCGTCGGTCAGCCAAAAACTTCAACAGAGCTGATCGATAAATATGTACGTCCTAGCCTTATACCTCCGTCGTAAGAAGTGGCGAGTGATACTGGCAGTTAGGACAATGTCAGTTTAATTCGATAAGTTGAAAGTTTGAACATAAGCACTTTATTTTAGCTGGTCGATTACAAAAAATCTCTCAGATCAACAGTACACTGTTTCTACAAACAACCACTCAATGGACTAAATGAGTGGACAATTAAAAACGATATTTGAAAGTTTGCGAAGTGAACTTTGTGCTTGTAGATCATACAATGGATCGTGACACTTACACTCTGATTCTTCTCATATCACAAAATAAACATTTGCTGGTTTCCTAAATGTGCAGAAAATTCATACAGTTTAATCTTATTTCAATTCATGGTAAACCCTTTCCAACTCACAGATGAAAACCGTATAGGTTTAAGATTACTGAAAAGATATTTATGTTACACCTGACTGCTTGTTTTCAGAATAAGAGCAAACATAGTGATGCTATATGATAGGTTATTAGTATATTTACATCTGAGATTTTTAATTAGAAATAAAATAATTTAAGCTAGAAGATAGATGAGTCCCCACAAATATGGGAATGAGTATTCAGTGCCTAAGTCAGGTAAGTAGGTCACCTGTGGTGGTTGAGTGTCACAATTTTACCCACTTATTTGCGTCCAATGCGTTTCACTTATCACCGCAAAGTTGTATCTCTTCAGTTTCGCAGCTATTTGATTAATTTTCCCGGTTTCCCACATTGTCCGGCCGATCCATGTGCCTGCGTTAATTGTTCTGGTTTTTAAAAGGAGCATCAGCCTTGTGACTTCCGACAAATCCCAGCTTTCATTACGTGACATAACTCATAAATGAAGACCCTTTGACAGAGTTTAAATGGTTTTTCCTGATTAGCGTTAGCAAGGTCTTTCCCTATGGGATGGGATTCCTAACCCCATGCCCAACCCTCTTTTGTTCGGGTGACGGAGTTGGAGTGTTGCAAGCATAAGTGTTATACTTCCTGAAACTCCCTGTTAATACGATTATAGGAAAGTTGAAATAAATGTTAACTTTAATTAGTTAGCCTTTAGAAGTACCGAATGTACTGTGTGGAATAAAAGCCTGCTTAATCCAAATAAATAGTGCTACAAAAGTTTTTACATAGAATTTTAATCGGATTAATTAGTCATATACATATTACATAGTGATCAAGTTCTGCTTAATATTAACATTATTTCTATACATAACAACAGAATTAAAGATAATCAACCGAATCTTTTCAGAACATGCTTCATGATACATAGTTGAAAAACATATAACTTAAAATGTTAAATTTATAACATTCTGAATATTTATAAAACAAATTAGTAAAAACAATCACTTGGTGACTGAAATCATTAGCGAGAAAGATTACTGAAGTAATGAATCTTTGAAAATTTAGCAAGCTATTTGAAACGACAGGAATAAACAATAAACACGATATAAATGAGGCAAAATTAAAGGAGGTTCATTAAAAGACGAATAACAGACAAAAAACAATAAAGTTAACTGTTCTCAGCGAAAAGTTCATATATCTAAATATAATTCCATGTAAACGAACCATACGTATTGTAATTAACTTCATCCCTCATGTTTTACACCACCACGCTTAATTCGTTTATTTGGAGAAAAAACACCTTTGTAAACAATAAAAATAAAAGTATAGATTGATTAAACTTATAAATGTAATTCGATTTCGTTACATGTTTGCCAGTAACTTACCCTACACACTTTGTAAAATCGAAGTAGTTGATATGAAGTTCTGTGATATGTGTCCTGGTAACCACGAGTCGACTGAATTAAACTACTGATTTACAAAGGTATATCACACACACATATCCATTTATGCCCACAGTCGTCAGATCGTTTGCCCCACACACCACATCAACAAAATGGTGGTTACCACATTGGGTAGTGCATAGTTTTTTCCTTAAAAAGTATACTTAAACTTCTTGATGTAAAGATACATTTTACAGCTATTTAAGACAATTCCGTGGCATTTAGTGTACAACCATTTCACAATATATATATATATATATAAACTGCCAAGACTGAACTTCCAGTTTCGTTCTGATGGTTGATTATTTTCTTGAATCATACTGATACAGGAAGCTTGATCAATTGTATATTTACACATATTTACCTACATGTAGTGTATCAATAAGTTCACAACTGAAGACATAAAAAAGATGAATATATATATATATATATATATATATATATTTGAGTATCAAGAATATGTAGATACGTACCATCAGACGAATTCAAATGAGGAAAGTCAGTGAAACTATGAATATCTACTGGGCGTTTACCAGCAATGCTTTGATCGAGATGTACTGAAGACCTTTTTTGAGCAACTGCAGCAAGTGATTGCATATCGTTTGTAAGTCCACTGTGTAACACATCGGCAGAAGGCCCAGAAAGCATTCTATAGGAGATAACATGAATAATCAAAATCTGATATAGTGGCAACGAAATTTAAAACATTAGCAGTTCGGATAGGTATATGTTACATAAAGTGATTGTAATTGTACTTTTTTATAACTAATATTCTCATTATTACAGTTTTTAAACATTCTATTCCTTATTTGTGTCCATTTTCGAAAAAATTTCATAACATATACACTTCTGTTGACTAATGTTGCAAGTTTTCTGATTTCTAACTATTGTGTTTCAACTTGAATGAGACTTTTAGTGTTACTTCTAATTACAAACAAAGGTCTCTGCTTGAAAGTTGGACCGTCCAATTGTATAAACGGTTTGGTTAAATTATACGGAAGCTTTTCACACAATGTTTGGCAGTTTGACATTTCAGTAATCAAAATATCAGAAAAATAAGTAAAAATGCTATTTTGTATGGTTACATATGATGATAGAAATAATAATCAATCAAATACACAGAGAAATGAGCCTACATAAGTGATTTACCATTTACAAAATGAATTTATCTATATGTAACAATTTATGGGTTCATTATCAGTCAAAATTACGATATAATAAGCAATCAAATCGACAAATTAGAAAAAGACAGTGTAAACCCACTTAGAATTTCGCGTTATTCTTCGGTTTTCATGAATGCTAGACGAACCAGTCAAAGTGTCCTCCTCTTCCTCTTTAGGTATAATAGTTGGAAAACGTTCCTCTTCTTTACAGTGTCTTGGATTCGATTGTAAAGTATCCTCATCTTCATCGTACTTACGATACTGATGACGGCTGTATGAAACGTTAATAGTTGGTGACGCTGTAAGATCCTTTGGACTTAGAAATGTACGAGACAGAGGTTGGCTATGGTTTACTAAAGCAATATGATATTCCTCTGGGTTTATATTTTCAGTGTCACTAGATGCACCACTTTCCAAAACCCATGATGAACCAGAAAAATTACTCGAGAGATCAGTTGATAAGGAACGCCAAGTATCTTCAAAACTAAAACATAATAAAGCTCAGTTTTAAGTGTTACATTGCAATTTAGATCATGCGATCAAAGAGACTAATAGCAAAAACAATGGATCAATTAGCAATTGCTCAGTTTTTATTATACAATAGGATACAGTATTTAGTTGTGTGAACCAAAGTATACAAGGTAAACATATACGATAGTTGATTCGTAATAAGCGGTAAAAAATAAGCTGATTGCAATACCATCGTCTACATACAGTTCCGCGTCCAAACCCTATCCTTGGGAAGCCTTAATCGCTGCGAGGGTGCTGTCTAAGCAGTGAGAATGAAAAAATAAAGTCAGATGCCTAAACTGAGTTGTTGAACACAGTGTTAAACCCAAGAAGTTGGTAACCCTGATTCAAAACCAATGATATTACATCGGCTCCAGAAACTGAAGGAAAAATTGGATTTAATAATTCCTAAACATTCGTTCATCAAATCATAATACAAGACACTAATGTAATTCCCTGTCTCCCCAAAGTTGGTGCAGCGGGTAGATGCCCAGTACATTGGCATATACATGCCCCCCAAATGCCCTGGAATGGCCGAGAGTGGGGAGAGTTCGCTCTCCCTCTCGAAATACTCTCACAGGGCCACGCGTATACAGCCTCTGCAAGGGAAGTCCTACTCATTGCCTTCTCGTGGCATTACTGTTGTCTACGAAAATGAGAGGACGAAAAGCGAATGTCCGGCGCTTTAACCGGATCCCAAACTAATGGTGCACATGGGCTCCAGTATCCTGCGGAAACAAATGGTGTGTGAACCAATTTTTGGTCACCGGCTACCATGGAACTGCATCTCCTCACGATGCTCCACTGCCTTATGGGTTAGACCTTTAGGTCAATGGCTCGGGGTGTGGCACCCTAAGAAAACCACCTGCTTCGGTTTGGGCACCCGGGCAGTATCACAGCCCGCACACAAAAACATGATAAACTGTCTAGGTGTGAAAAATATTCCTCTTCCTGCAAACAACAATCAATTGTCTCGTATTATTATTATTACCGTTATTATTATTATTATTATTACTTACTATGTCGTTTATTTTCTTTTATTTTCACTCTGTGTATCCTTATTTTTCGACTTATACAGAAGCTCACCTATGGTGGAAATTCGACTCTATCTAAACGTTCTCGAGTCACTGTCCGGTTGAAAATTGTATGTTACCACCGAATACGAGTACTGAAGCAGTTTTTCTGAAACCACGTGCACCATTCAAACTGGCTGCCTTCAACGTTCGCACATTTATGCAGGTCGGACAACAGATAGGGCTGGCTATGTCTTTGGAAAGTCTTAATATCGATGTTTGTTGTCTATCCGAGACCCGTATTCAAGACTCTGGCGAAGTACTACAAATTCGATCTCCATCTGTCGCTTCGAAAAGCTTGTTTTACGTGCGCTTATCCGGGGACCCTGTGGCATCTTCGTCTGGTCTTGCTGGCGTTGGTGTCGCACTAAGCGCTAGAGCTGAGGCAGCACTAGTCGATTGGATCCCCATTAACAGTCGGTTATGTGCTGTTAGATTAGAAAGTTCCATCAAAGTGAGAAGAAATCGGCGTGAGAAACGATGTCTTTTCGTCATCTCCGCCTATGCCCCGACAGATTGCAGCCCGGATGCAATCAAGGATGAGTTTTACCACCAGTTATCAGTTCTTCTCCAGAAAGTGCGTTCGACAGATATTGTAGTACTAGCCGGAGACTTGAATGCTCAGGTCGGGCGTCTAGGCACAGAAGAGAGTCGTTTAGGTGGCCGATGGGGACTCGTTGGTCGCAGGTCAGATAACGGGGACCGTCTACTGCAACTTTGCACAGACCACAACCTGTTTCTGGCTAGCACTAACTTTCGGCACAGTCATCGCCGATGTGCCACCTGGCGTCCTCCCTCTGCATCTCAAGCCTGGACTCAGATTGATCACATCGCGATCAGCTACCGCTGGCGTGGTTGTGTACAAGACTGCCGCTCCTTTTGGAGTACCTATCTGGACTCTGACCATGCCTTGGTCTGCGCCAATCTTACCTTACTTTTCAGTGGACAACGAAGTGACCGCCATCAACGGATTGATGTTAGCAAGCTGGTTGCAACTTCTGTTGCAAGTAAGTATCGAACCGAGCTAGCCTCTAGGCTAGCTACCACTCCACCGAAAAGTATAGATGAGCATTGGTTGCAATTGCATGACGCCATGAAAATGGCGGGAACAGTCAGTTGTGGGTTTGCGAAACGTCCCGCTTTAAGCACTGGGTTTCTTCTGGTTCCTTACAACTCATTGAAGCCCGTCGGTCTACTCCGGGTGACCGTGAGTTTGACCATAAACGAAGGATGTTACGTAAGGAAATTGGGCAAAGCTTGCGTAAGGACCGAGAAGCCTGGTGGTCGATGCGTGCTAATGAGCTGGAAGCAGCAGCTGCATCTGGTAACTACCGGAAGCTCTTCCAGCTCATCCGAGCCACTGGCAGCAAGAAGTCTGGTGTGAGTGAAACAATCTGCGAGGATGATGGGATGCCAATCACTAACATCCATCGACGTCTTGGACGATGGGCAGAATTTTTCGAAGGGCAGTTCAACTGGCCTGCTGCTCCGGCAACATCGGTCAGACTGTCCTGCCCTCCATGGCCGGTGACGACTGATCCACCAAATGAGGAGGAAGTCCGCAAGGAACTCCAACTCTTGAAGCGTTACAAATCACCTGGCCCAGATGACTTACCTCCGGCTCTTTTTAAAGATGGTGGTGACTTTTTGACTAAGGAATTGACGACGTTGTTTACAAAGGTTTGGGAACTAGAGAGTGTACCAACGTCATGGAATGAGTCGATAGTTGTCCCTATCTTTAAAAAGGGTTCACGTCGTTCCTGTAACAACTATCGGGGGATAAGTCTACTTCCGATTGCGTCCAAGCTATTGGCTTCCGTCATTCTTCGTAGGTTGTTCAAAACCCGAGAAAGATTGACTCGCGAGGAGCAGGCTGGGTTTCGTTCTGGTCGAGGATGTATTGATCATATCTTCACCCTCCGCCAAATGTTAGAACACCGCCATACTTATCAAAGGCCAACAATCGTAGTGTTTCTTGACATCAGGGCTGCCTTCGATTCGTTGGACAGGACTGTTCTCTGGGATTGTCTATTGAAGAAGGGTGTGCCTGAGAAGTTTATTAACATCCTAAAAGCCCTATATAAAAACACCTCAGGCAGAGTGAGGGCATACAACCACCTCTCTCCATTGTTCCATTCGAGCAGTGGGGTTAGGCAGGGTTGCCCAATCTCACCATTCCTCTTCAACTTTGCCATCGATGACATTCTGGAAACAGCTCTGATGAATGTAAGTAATGGTGGTGTGGATCTGTTGCCTGGAGAAAGACTTCTCGACCTTGAGTATGCGGACGATATTGTCTTACTGTGCGATAATGCCCAAGGCATGCAATCCGCACTTAATCAGTTGGCAATCAGTGTCCGTAGGTATGGTATGTGCTTTGCACCTTCGAAGTGCAAAGTACTTCTACAAGACTGGCAGGATTCTAATCCTGTACTCACCCTGGATGGTGAGCAGATAGACGTAGTCGAGAAGTTCGTGTATCTGGGTAGCTGCATAAGTGCTGGTGGGGGTGTGAGTGATGAGATCAATGCACGTATAGTGAAAGCCAGAGCGGCTTATGCCAATCTGGGCCACCTTTGGCGCCTTCGTGATGTTAGTCTGGCTGTAAAAGGTCGGATCTACAACGCGTCGGTGAGAGCAGTTTTGCTCTATGCTTGTGAAACCTGGCCTCTCCGAGTTGAGGACGTTAGACGACTCTCTGTGTTCGATCATCGCTGTCTCCGAAGGATTGCTGACATTCAGTGGCAACACCATGTCAGTAATGCAGAGGTTCGGCATCGTGTGTTCGGGCACAGAGATGATAATCAATTGGTGTCACCATCTTGAAACACCGACTTCGGTGGCTTGGACATGTTCTCCGAATGTCGTCCCAGAGAATTCCACGTCGTGCATTATTTGCCGACTCTGGGACTGGTTGGAAGAAGCGGAGAGGTGGTCAGTGCATGACATGGTGTCGTGGTATGAAAGAAAGCTGCAAAGGACTGGCTTGTGTTGGTCCTTCACGACTCCCTGGTTGGGGTCCGAGAGATGGTGCTACACAGTGGCTAGAGACGTTATCAGATATGGCTCAGAATAGAAGCCAGTGGCGATCCTGCTGTAACCTTCTTTTACTTTCTTCTCAAAAAGTGGTTGTGTCTCCCTTACCTGAAAGATTTCTTCTGATTGTACCTTTCCTTTCCCTCATTATTACTACACTACCTTACACCAATCTCTTCGTTATTGTTCTCTTTTTTTTACGCTCCTTACCTTTTTTTCTCTTCGAATTCTCATCGTTTTGTGTGGCGCATATACATTGGCGCTCTCTTTTTCCAATATTTATGTGTTCAAATAAGTAAATAAATAAATACTCTCATATACATAGATGTATTGGTTCGTTAAGATCCCTAATATGTAGTTAATCTTCTTACATTTGAGAAAAACTTTACAATTTGCCTGAAAACTTATATAAACAAGCATAAATAAATGACAGAAGACTATAAACAAATAAGTTTCTGGATGAAAATTATTTCAATGCCTTTTCCTTAGAAGTTACGAAAGATGCCGTAAACCGCGTTTTTGATACGCTATACATAATTAGGCATATGAACACGAACAAATGGTAAACTGAAATATCTGTTAAAACCAAAAAAAGCTAAGTGAGATATGTCATTCGTCAGCTGTTGTTTTACAATCTATAAAAACTGTAACCTACTAAATAGAACTGTATGTAATCAGTAGAAACTATGATCTGACTAGTTAAATTTTTAAAAAAATTATAAGTAGATCCTTTTTAATCGACCAAAATTAGTGTTTTAGTTAATTAATTTAATTAGAGGGTTACAAACCTGTGCAATATTTTCACAGTTTAGCAACAAAAACACTAAATGTACCGATGTAGATAACACAAAGTAGCTACATGTTGATTGTAAGGAGAAAGATGATGAACAGCCACATGACATGATGATACCTCATAATCTGTGTTAATCACAAACTACTGTTAATGACAGGAACAGAGTTTAAAGACATTTTACTAGTGCTTATAGTGTGAAAGTTCAAACAGGTTTTAACATTTCGAAATCGATATCAACGAATAGGATTACACTTTTCGTCAACTGACGATAAACAAAACCCACGGAAACTTCGAAAAAAATAGGACAAAGCCGAATGGAAATTTATGTACTAGATACTGTTAAGCGACGAGGTGAAATTTTATAGCATATAACAAACGGATTGTTATCTTTATAATTGGGTCATAACCCGGGAATGCAAGTAAGTTAGTATTCTTATCAGTATACACTGAGAAAACACGCTTGCATAGCACTAGATCATGATAGAATACACCTTCAAAATCAGAATAACATTCAACGAAATAACAATAACAGTAATAATAATGATAATGGAAACTCACTTAAGATTATCGAAATCATGTAAATGTTTGCGCCACTTCCGAATCATCCCATCCCATGCACGGCGAGAAACTTTACGGAACTTGTTGGGAGTACGAGGATGATACTTCTGGCGCTCAGGTTTTGGGATACTCAACACATATTCAGCGTAGCGTTCTGTCACTTTTCCCATATCAATGTCCTTCTGCCTCCTCAACAATTCCATTTGCCTCCTTTCAAGTTCAATAGGTTGCTGTGTTTCCCCTATACACAAAAAATATCAGAAACTTCACCAATGGTAATGGCTTTTTACAAACTAAAAACAAGGAGGGAAGGATAAGAAATGAGGTAACAGGTACATGCTTTTGGCCTTGACAGGCAAATACTTTGATCTTAACATTTTTCCCTCGATACCAATGGAGACACTGCCCAGGATTTATTTTAAAACATAAGTACAAGGAGGTACCGAATACATATGCGCCACAATTCGTCATCCGACTTGTGTGAGGGCTGTAATGCTGGCCGGGCGCCGAGACCGAAGCAGATGGTCCTTTTCAGGGGGCCACTCCCCGAGCCTTTGACCTAGAAGTCTAGTCCACAAAGCAGTGAAGCAACGTCGAGAGATGCAACCCCATGGCAACCGGTGACCAACAACAGGTCCATAGGCCATTTTTCCTTCAGGATACTAAAGTCTATGTGCGCGCATTGGTTTGGAATCAGGGTTTTCCAACTCAGGTGAATCCTCTGTATCCACCAACCTGGTTAAGGCGCCGGACATTCGATTTTCGTCCTCTCAATTTCGTAAACAACAGCCCCGCCGCAAGAAGGCAGTGGCTGTATACGTGTGGTCAAGTGAGGGCATTTCGAGAGGTAGGGCGGACTCCCTCCACTCTCGGCCATACCATGGGATTTGGAACTCGTTAACGAGAAAGTTTAATGGGAAAACAAATCTTCAGAATTCAGTGATCGCCTACAGCCGAATAAACAAAACAATTGTCATAAATAGAGATAATCAACACAATTTTTCATGAAGGACATTTGTGAGTGATTCAATGGTTGAAATAATACTGCATTCGCAAGATATTTTAGTGCCAGAATACTGAGTGGAATAAGAATATAGACTAACTAAGTTACTAAATGAATACATGATCTGAAGTAGTATGAATTCATTCCAATAGAGAACATATCAAAGAGTTGAATGTTATGCATTAATCAGACGTATATACGTTTAGTTTCAAATTTTTAGTTGAACTCCTTTAAATTCGACTTGGACATAGCCTTAACCGGGTACAGATGTGCATCGGCCATACCAAGCTAGCATAGCATGCTGAAATTCACAGAATGATTTGAAAAGATGTCGAAGTTATGTTTATCAGTGGGAGACTTAGCAATGGTTAAAAAAAGTATGTGTGGAAGGAAACAATAAATGAATGTATATTTGTCCACTAACAGCGTTTATCCTACGAAATCCTAGCCCAGTAATCTGAATCTCCCATCAGAGCTTAATTTAGAGGTTAATGAACCGACGGGCAGACAATATTTTCAAGATAATAGCACAGTACTACACCGTTTAATTCATAATAAAACTATATTACCGTACAGCAGTACGAGAACTAACGATGAATTTTGAGTCATATACGCAGGGAACCTGAGACGACAGTATGGCTAAGTAGTGTTTCAGATGTAACAACACTGCCATTGGTTTCATACCCATGGTGATAGGACCCTCAGTGAGAAAGGTGATGAATGAAGTTTAATATATACGAAGGTGAAGCCAATTAAACAATCTAGGTAAAATAAGAGGTGTTAGTTTTTTTTTCCATGATCACTGCTACTCATGGGTCAGTGCGTTGATGTAGATAAGGTACCATCTAACAAATTCCATCAAAAAGTCAGAACAAGACAGTATCAGTCCCTGTAAACAAAGAATATTGAATTGAACCATAAAGGCAATTGCAGACTACCTGGTCGAGGCTCACGTGATTGTCATAATTACCGGTTAAACTTTGATTACCATGGCTCAGAACCATCTGCAATAGTCCAGGGACACCCACTGTCTTCCCTTAGATCCTAAGTTTCTGAATTACCTGATAAAATGTGTCGCAATAACCCACATTTTCTCTTCGGACACTACCTCTTATGCTAATCCTTCCTGCTAGCACTAACACTTTTTTACCTCTATTTTGGGATTTATTTTGAAAAGTTTATCGTTGTGCTAATGAGATTTATTACCTTGAACAGGTTCTAACTTGCGCATGAATAACTCCTACCAACCCAACTACTGCGTGCACACACTTAACATCTGTAATTATAGAGGTTCCTGCAAACCAAAGCGAAGTACATGACAAAAACGGCACATAGAAGCTAAAAAATAGCGGAGTTTAACAATATTATGACGCAGTTCGATCCAAGGTTTAAGCGATATTTTGTCAAAAAATTCTAGTCGACAGTAGGGGGTTGCGTTAATCACCGTTCAATGATGTTTATATGTACTGTTAAGTAAGTTACTGATCATGAAAATGAAAATAAGGACTCACGTCCAAGTGGTTTTAGAAACGTCTAACACTACTTAGGCGGTTAAAGCTTCATGTACGTCGAGTAAATTCGTGACTAGAAAGACTGTTAAAATACCCAGGATTTGGATAAAAACTGAATAGTCCTACACATTATCTTTTAGTTTTACAAAACTACTAATGAAAAATACCATGGTAAATGAAGAAAACCATTAAAAGCGCAATCACTTTTTCTGTTAATCTTCGCCTCAGTTTTTCTTCATATCGACTCAGATCTTCGTCTGCATCGTCGGACAACAGCATATCGACTTTCCAGTCTCCTTGAGTGCGATAGCGGTCGAGGCGTTCCTGAGCGCGCCTGATTTCAATAAGTGGGTCATAGTTTGGATGGAATTTTCTGCGACTTCCAATCTGTTGGGGGTCAAATTAAGACTGTACGTACCGAGGACAAAATGCTTCGTGATCTGTTGTGGTCACTGCATTCCTCTTTAGATCGGTGCCGGGTTCTGTATCTAGGAGTTGTCTCACAGTTCCTAACAGGCGTAGACATGCGGAAAGGGGTCGATGGGCTGACTTTCTGGGTAGATGACCTGCTATTTCTTACTGTTTGAGACGAAATTTCCAACTTTCGACCATTTTCCCGGTCATTATGACTTAATTTATCTACAGGACTTCGGATACTTATAAGCTAATTTAAACGATAATACCTTTGAGTCACTAACGGGTTGACACGCGAACGCCCTTTATTAATAGCCCCTAAAAAAACGGCATTCTTGACTGGAGCGGATTTCCTAGACCTGCGACGATCCTCCACAAGAGAAGACATTAGGTTGAAATTCTAACGGAGCGGCAAGACGATGTTATTTAGGATACCGCTCATGCTCAATATCTATTATGACATTAGTGTTGGGCAAAATAAATTTGTGTCATGATTACTTATGTATTAGTATCGATGGGTCAAAAATTTGACCACTGAATCTTCCAAATAATGCTTCTGAGTTTCATGAAAGCAATGGGATTTCAGTAGAAACCTATTTGTCATCGATCTGACGTCTTGCAACTTGACATCTCGTAGAATAGGCATAGAAGTCAGATTTAGGGAGTTTCGGTAGAATGGATCATGATTAGATACAAGGTAAAAGAAAACTCCTCTTACTATCCAACACATTCACAAAATGCCCGTAGTATTGTAAGTGAACTTCAGTTAACTGAAAGTCATCAGTCAGATTCGTAAAACTGACCGATACAACCTTTCTACGTTCAGCCGGTTCAAGGAGTGTGTTTATAAACAACAGGCTCTATGTAACAGACATTTTAATGGTAAATAAGTCACCAAGATAGGTAGTTCTGTGAGTGTTCGATACTTATGCTGACCTTATTAGTTTTACTGGACACACTGTAGTCGAAAGGAATCGCCCGAATATCTGTAGCAGATCATGAACAAGTATACCATGTTACCTACTCCTCAAAACTAGTCAGCTTAGATCATATGCCTCTCAACACATTGATTATCATTCAAACATATCTTCGAACTTCTTCATTCCTGAATTCGGATTTGCTTAGCTTTGGTATTCCCGATTATAAAAGGCGTAACAAACAATAACTTTGTCGAGCACCGAAAATCCGCAGCATCTTTACACTATGTTGTTATAAGCAGTTTGAAAGGAGGTATAAGTTAATAGAACTCAGAAAGTTTAAATATGTGTTTCGATAAAGTTTAGTAAATTGAGCATTGCTTATACCAGGAACCCAAGGATTCGTCCGCTTATTCTGAGCGTGGATTTTTTTAACAGCGATATAAGGTAAATGTTAACTTCAAAGCGACTACTCGACAGCTGGTACTCGACTGAGTACTACAAGACACGATGCAGCCTTCACTGTTTTTAATCCATGGTAGTTAACTACTTTCTGAGGTATGTGGTTTGTTGACATATGTCATTAATCCCGAATTCATTGGACCAAAAAGATAGTACTAGTTCAAGGGACTCAAAGAAGCACTACGCGGATATCTCTTTGCAGAACAGATGAAGCAGTACTCCTCTTCTAAAGCTTCGAATTGAAAGTCATATATCTATTAACCTCCTCCAATCAAATTTTTATTCGCCTTCCGGATATAACTCTTGAAAGTTGTTATTGACATTTTTCGCTCTATAGTTTAATAACACTCTTTCATCCCACATAAATGCGTATTACCGGATTCCATTTCTATTTTGAGCTTTGAGCATCAAAGCATGGGACAAAGTAACCACAGTGCTTGTACAAGTTTTTAATCTAATCAAGATAAGGCTTATCAATGTTTTTTGAGCTGATTCACTAGGATAGCACATATTCAGTCTTCAGTAACAATGCATTAAGGAAATACTACTATCATAAGTGTACACTAGGAATGACGTAAGATCCGTGGCAAACTGGTGTTTAAACATTATGTCTTGGTGTAATTACGGAATATGGCACAAGAATTCAAAGTTAAAGCCTTCCACGTTGTCAGCTTGCAAATGAGATACTATCTGATCAGAAAGTCTCTCTAAGTAGTTCTGAGCATTTTCGTAGATACGTTCGGGATGCAAAAGGTTCGCAGTTTTTCTATAGAGCGAATGTATTATCTCTGAGCACTAAACACTTCGTAATTACTACCCAAGATAAAGGTATCCAAGCCTTAATTTTACCTTTCAAAAGGCAACTAAAGCAACATAGCGAAAAGTGTCTAACGATC